TGACTTTTAAAAGGATGTCTAAACCATAGGTCGCAAGATCGAAAATTTTCGGGTTGCGACACACCTAGACGATGTCAGGCGCCAATATTGTGACGTTAGGCATGAGTCAAGCAAAGGCTCTCTATCTGAATGAGACTGGGTGTGGATTTAGCTACGCTAGGTGTGATTTACATAAGGATTCTTTGACTCGTTCATGTCGGGAGTGGGTAGTTTGGCTCCAAGTATGGGTAAGCCAAAGACTCTTTACCTCAATGACATCAAGTATAAGAAGAATAGCATCAGGCATGAGATGCAAAATGAAAATGTGTTGTTTATTTGGATAAGTGTTGAATATTGTGTGTATAAGTGGAAATGTTCACATGTTGCATGTTGTTACATGACTTTAATTCCTTATACATTGATCTAGGATGATGTATGTGGATATTGAAGTTGTTTAAATTTGCAAGTTAAATAAAAGTTGAGTTGTATGTTGTGTAGTGTTGAGGAGGCTATGTTGAGAATGCTAAATGCATGAAGTTGAGTTGTTTGATTGACTTATGATTAGAGGAAATGTGTTCTTTTAAAAGATGAACAACTCATAGTTTTAAACACATAAGTTATATTTAAATTTATGAAAAATAATTTATATTATAAAAAATTATTTTTTATTTATTGATAATTTATTTTAAATATTAATATTTAATTTATAAATAATTATGATAAATAAAAATGTGAATTAAATAAAAAAATTAAAAAAATCTCTATAAATCTTTTAAAAACTCCCCGGAAACATTGCCGTCCAAAATAAGGATTTGATGGATTTCATTAATAACAGTTTAACTATTTAAATTAATATCTTAACCTGTTTAAGATGGACCAATATTATAAATTATGTATAAAAAGTTAAAAATATTATTTATTGTTATGTTCATTTTCTTTTTGGTAGGATATTAGACCGGTAATATATATCCATAAAGACGAAAGTATGATTTAGTGTGTATAATTTTTTTAGATAATTTCATTTTAAATTATTTCTTTATAAATTATAAATCATCTATATTTTTTTATATAATTATCTCATTTTATTATTTTTTAAATATTTTTAAATGGGAGAGATACACTTTTAAATAATTATTTTTAAAAAGTATTTTTTAATAACATTGCTGCTATTGAGTAATAACGAGGTGTTGGTGCGTGTCGGAAGAAGCAATTGGGTGTGGATTTCGTGCAATTTGAGTTTGACTACCATCTTCTTCTGCAACACTATTTCATATAATAAACACAAAATGAATTTTCACCATCTTATGAAGAAATAATATTAAAAAATAAATAATAAGACAATTTTTTATTTTTAAATATCATTTTATTTTTCCAATAAAACAAATATATATATATATATATATATATATCATTATTCATATTATTTTTGCATTTTATTATAAAAATATGGAGGGAAGTTCTTTTCTGTCTTGGTTAATTTGATTTTCTCATGTCTTTTTTTATTCTTTATTAATGAAAAAGAAGACATTCTATGTTTTTTTTTTTCGTTCCTAGAGTATTCACCATCGATAGCAGTGACTAATCTTCTCGTTACATTGGAGATAGCTGATCCCAAAATTTAACGCGGCTGCATACACAAAGCAGGATTAGAACTCCTGACCTTACTTAAGTGTGGATCAATCCCTACCGTTGAAAGACATTTTGTGTATATATTATTTTTTTTATTATAAAAAAATATAAATATGTTAGTAAAGATAATATACAATTATCAACCGTTTCAAAGATAAAATTATTCTACAAAAAAAAATTTCTACCTTTTATTAATTATTATCATATTATTTATATAATTTTTATAAAAGATTAAAATTATCAATATAATATATACACTAAACTAAAGAATAGTCTTTGTAAATATCTTTAAAAAAAATAATACGATTCCCTGAATACGGGTTTTTGTTGGACACGTGGTATTTTCTAATATTTCTTCATAGTGAGAAATATACCGTACATTTTACGAAACAAGTCAACTCTTAATGCTTTAATTAAATTAAATAAATACATGCTTAGTTTGGCAAATTAGGAGGAAAAAAATATCGTTTTAAAAAGATTAGAAAAATTACTTTTCTTGAAAAAAAATAAAAAAATTATAATTTTCACCTAAGCATGCACTATAGGTGCAGAAAAATAAATAGGATAATTTAATTGTTATTTTAAAAATAAAGAGAGTTTATATCCACCATCTAATAAATTAATAGTTCGAATTAATTTATATTTAATTTTTAAATTTAAAATACAATATCTATTTAAACAAATTTTAGAGGAGATAGAAAAGAATAATATAATTTTTTTTTACCTTTAGAAGGAATTTAAAATAATTAAATTTTATTTTTAAAGTTGAAAAATTTATAAAGTTCATTTGATAAAACATCCATATTTTAGTTCAAAAATTTCAATTTCTTTAAAAAATATTTTTCTTTCTTAAAATACTGACCGAAAACATCATTAAAAATATCTATTTAGACATAGAATTTTAGAGAAAAGGATTCGAAACAATTAAGCATCTATTTGTACATAGATTTTAGAGTAAAAGAGAAGGGAGGATAATTTTTTTTTATTTAATTTTTTAAAACTAGTTTGGTATTTTTAAAATAAAAATGATATATTAACATAAAATTAATCAATATCTCGTATTATTTAAAAAAATAATTTGCCCCTTTTCTATATATATCTGAAAAACGTATCAATGGGTATATTGACTTAGTGACACAACGTAACGTAACGAGCCAACTGAGAAAAAAACAAACAAAAGTACGTTTGGTTGGTTAGTCTATTGTAGGTTACGTTAAGGGCAGGAAATTGATTATAAAATTAAATTATGCAAAAGAGGTACAAAAATCATTCTATTGTGGAATAACAGAACTCAACCTTATCGCATCCAACTAGATATTAGATAATGTCAGATTTTGTGTATGTTATTTCTCTCAAAATAATTAAAAACAATAATGAAAGTTTGGATACAAATTTTCATATATTATTATTAGTTAAAATACTATATTATATATGAAAAAAAAGATCTTAGCAATTTTGAGGTTGATTGCGATGAAGACTAGTTACGTTTTTCTGCAGTACATACTCTATGTTAATAATACAATTATGGAACATACACATAAAATAAAGATTAAAAAAAAAGTTGCTCTCATTTAACGAAATTTATATATTTAATTAATCTTAATTATAGTTTTTATATTATAACATATGTCTTATTTGCCTAACTGAAAAGATATGCTTGAGTGTTTATTTTATTTTATTTTATTTTTTAAATTTCTACTAATACTAATAGCAATCTAGCATTATTGGAAGATAGTTTACGTTGGCTTATTATCTCAAGATCCCGAAGTGAGCCAGGGGTGAATTAAGACAAATGTTTTATTTATTTATTTATTTATTTATTCTGTCTGAGTATTTGTCCGAGTTATTTTCTTAATATAAATCTTAGATGGCCAAAACTTGAAATATGTAGATGGGATGGTTAACTTGACGTTATAATATAATATAATATATTAATATTAATGTTATTTATAGTTAAGTATAGAATAAAAAAATATATAACTTAAATTAAGATATGTTTTAAAGTACATATTTTAAAATAAATAATGTTATTGTAAATACAATATTATATTATTAACATGATTATATATTAAAAAAAGTTACTATATATTAATCCACAATTATTTTAAAACTTCTCCAAAGTATAATTACAACTCGTCTTAAAAAATATATTTGAATATTTGATTTGATTTTGAAATTTGAATTTGTCTAAATTAACAATAAAGTAAGTTTAATTAATGGATAAGTTAGGTCTTGGTCAACTTTATGAAGAACAATAGCATGATCGGTAAATGAATTACAAAATTATTAATGGTTTTCGAACGTCATAATTCATTTCTTGATCTTATATGAAAAAATGAAGTTTACTTCAAAGGTATATTTTGTAACACCTCACTTTTTAAAAAGTTAAATAAAAATTAGTTTAATTTTGATAGTTTCTTGTCAGATTTTTAATTAAATAATTATTAAAAGTAAAAAGGATTTTTGAAAATAAAAAGTGTTTTAAGTTGTTGGGTTTGATATTTGAAACCCAATAATTTTGTGTTAACCAAGAGAGAGTGTATTAGGTTTAACTTAATACTCTTGTTTTTTGTTTTGCCTTTTGAAATGTTAGAGTCACGTGTGAGAGAGCTTGGATCGAGAGGAGTAGGATTACACCTTTATCTTCGCAAGATTGTTTTTCCATATAATAAGGAGATGAGTTATCTCTCTCATAGGTGTGGATTAAACGTGTGTAGCGAGGTTGTCTTTCAACTCCGTAGCTTCTTTGGTGTATGATTTTGGAGGGATTTTGAATACACCAAAAGTGTGTTGGAATTGTATGTGGATTGAGTTGCTTGAACGATTATATTGTATTGCATAAATTGATTGATTGCTGTTCATGAGCTAAATGCCTAAATTGGATGTGTTAGGATTCTTGATTTGAGCATTTGAGGTTGGAAAGTTATATGTACATTTTGTTGGTTTAGTTGTGTACCTTATACTTTATTAAAATATGAGTAATTCATACCTTAAAATATAAGTTTGAGGCTTGAGAGATGTGCCTTACAAATTTGTATTTGCATTATTTAGGGATGTTGGTCTAAAAGTGTGAGACCCCTTCCTTTTTCCTTTCCCATTTCACCCTCACACTCTTACTCTCTTTCACTCTGAACTCTCTTATTCTCTTCACTCTCTCATTTCCATTTCTTGTTGATTTCTTTCCCTTTGTGGTGGCTGGGGTGATTCTTAGGTGTTGAGTAGGTGTTTGATTCTTGCTGAGCCGTGCAGAGCTTTCTCAAGCTTCTCCTTCTTCTCTTTTTCTTCCCTGTTCAAGCTTGTCTTCTTCTCGGAACTTGGATTCTTCACTGAGGTAAGGGAAGCTAGGATTTTTCTTGCCAGTTGTTTGTATTAGTGAGCTAGAAACTCACATGATGGCTGATTGTTGTGGATTTATGGCTGAGATTGATGAAAATGGAGTTTTGGGGTTTTCGGGGTTTTGGGTGATATTTGGGGATTTTAATGATTTGTGGTTGCATGCTGAAAATGAAGTGTTTTTCTTGATGTTTGAGGAAAATGTGAACTTTTGGATGGATTGCATGTGGGTTTTCTGGTTGTTTATGCAGGTTTTTGAAGAAATTTTCGAACTTGGTGAGTTGTTGCTGGATATCACGCCGGGCGTAGTTCTTCGCGTCGGGCGTGTGACCACCAGAGGGCTCCTTTGGGCAAGCCACCGAGCGCAAGGAGGTATGCGTCGGGTGAGCTTGAGATTGTGAGCCTCTGGATGGCCCACGTCGGGCGTGGCTGGACCGCGCTGGGCGCGATATCAGTGAGTAATTGAGGTTTTGTGGTTCTGGTGTGGCGCCGGGCGTGACCACATCTCGCGGGGCGTGGAGACTCCTTCCGAGCCTCTCCCAGAGGTGGTGTCGGGCGCAATTGATATTGCGTCGGGCGTGAGACCTTGGGAAAGTCTCTACTTACCCTGCGCCAAGCGCGGGTTTGCATGCCGGGCGTATGAGACCTTTTGAGGTCTCTACCTCCTAGCACGCCGGACGCAATGGGAATTGCGTCGGGCGCGTTTGAGTCCTGATGCTCTCTGGTTGTGCCACGTCAGGCGCGACCATGAGTGCGCTAGGAGAGGATGAGATATTGATTTATAAGCTGATACGTGTTGACTTATGCTGAAATTGCTGATAGATGTTGTTATATGCTGAGCTGAACTGTAAATGTTAAATATTGTTGTGCTGGCTAGGTGATAATGCTGAATTATGATGTTGAGTTGTAGTTGATGTATATTGTTGTGCTGTAAGTTGTTTAGCTATGCCGTATGCTGTTATTTTCGTTTGCTGATTTTGATGTGCTATGCTGCATGCTGATATAAACTATTGTAGGCCGTAAGACTGAGCTGTTGTAGGCCGTAAGGCTGAGCTGTTGATCACTAAGACTAGAGGAGATGTTTTTGAAATTTCCTCATCCCATTGTGTGGATTGAGCGGCTGTGGTGCTCTTAGAGCCCAATTTGTTAAAAACCCTCCCTAGAAAGCTGACCCTTGGAGTGGTAACTTGTTGTTCTCCTCTAAGTTCTTAGTGGTCCCGTGTGTGAGCAAGGTTGAGGCACATGTGTACAAAGCGACCACGGTATAGGGGCCAGGTCGAGCTATACCGCTTACAAGCGACCAATTCTAGCTGATATGCATGACGACGCATTGTGTGTTTATTGCTGTATATCTGATGAGTTGTATGCTGATGATGTGCTGATAGCTGTAGCTGTTTACCATTCATGTATTATTTATGTATGTATGCTGATTCTTTTCACTAGCTTACCCTTTGTTGTTTCCATGTGGTTTGGACTGCAATGATCATACTATGTATGGGAGCAGGGCAGGGTTAGGTCGGTGAGATGAGGCAGGTCTACAGCTGGCAGATGGAGTATTGATGTTTTGTTGTATTTAGCTACTTAGTGTAGCATTGCTGGATGTATTTTTATACTCTGATTTTAGCTTCAGATAGACCTTGTGTATATGTTTTGCTACTTCTATATATATGCCTGTTCTTTTGTGGGGTGTTGTGGTGTTGTGCAGTGTGTAGTGACCAGCCGGGTCGTTACACTTTAGTGGTATCAGAGCAGTTCGAGTCTAGTTGACACTCTGTGGGAGTGGTTCCTTTAGGCTTTTGTTGTGTTGAACTTTGTGTTGTGTTGTTTTGCTGTGCTGATTTCTTTGTTGATTGTTGTGTTGTTGATTGTTGTTTGGTTTAGTTATTGTATATTGAAGGTGCTGTTACTTTTGTAGTCGATGACTAGAACCAATGAGAAGATAGCCCGTGCCATGGTGATGATGGCTATGGCTATGCAGCAGCAAAATGCTTATTTTGCTAGGATGGACGCTGATAGAGCTGCGGCTGGTGCAGCAAGGCCCGTGGGGTCCCAGGAGGGCCGAGATCTAGCTGAATTCCAGAAATGCCATCATCCACAGTTCAAGGGAGATGTAGACCTAGAGGTAGTTGACCACTGGATCTGTGAGCTGGAGAAGATCTTCACTGTGTTGGGATGTTCATAGGAGAAGAGGTTGGCATATGCTGTTTACATGCTGGTTGGGGAGGCTGAGCATTGGTGGAGAGGTACCCATCACATGCTGACTGCTAGAGGTGTTGTAGTGGACTGGGAGTGCTTTAGGAGGGTGTTTCTGGAGAAGTACTTTCCGGAGAGCGTGAGGCACGCCAAGGAGGCTGAGTTCATGCGGTTACACCAGGGTGGGCTGTTTGTACCAGAGTATGCAATGAGATTCGAGCACCTGGCTCATTTCTATTCGCAAGCTATATCTGAGGCCTAGAAATGCAGGAAGTTTGCTGAGGGGTTAAAGCAAGAGTTGAAGAGGGTGGTGGTGCCTATGGCCATCACTGAGTTTCTGGCCTTGTTGGAGAAGGCGAAAGTTGTTGAGCGGTTGGAAGGTGGCAACCGTGTGATGAAATCTGCTGAGGGACCAGCTGGGTCCAAGAGAGGAGGAAATTAGAGGAAGCCATATGATAGGCCTCAACCACAACAAGGGGGTCCTGTCATTAGGCAACCTACTGATGCTGCTAGAGGAGGGAGACAGGGTGGAGGTGCCACTCTCAGATGCTACAGGTGTGCTGGACCCCATTTTGTCAGGGATTGTCCACACACGGAGAGCCGGTGTTTCAGGTGCCATCAGATGGGTCATGAGTCGACCAACTATCCCGCCAGAAACAGACTGGAGAGAGATGCTCAAAGGAGTGGTGCTCAGAGGGGCGATGCTCAGAGGGGTGATAGACCCACTATTGTTGGGAGAGTGTACGCTTTGACTGGGGCTGAAGCTTCAACTTCTTCTGATCTTGTGAAGGGGAAGGGTAAAGCTGCTGGTAAGGATGTGATGATTTTGTTTGACTCTGGGGCTTCTCATTCTTTTATTTCCTATGCTTGTGCTGCTATGCTGGGTGTG